CGTCCGTATAAGCATGTAGAAGAATCTCTTGGGTCGGCCCAGTTCTTCTGAAACCGGTGTTGAAGGAACAAAAAGACAAGTAAGCTAAGATGTGCAACATTTATAGCCATCTCAACCCAAACTGACGCGAAACCAGGGACCCCCAACAAGCCGAGTGGGTTCATAGCTTTTATCAGGTTTTCCGCGACCTGGCCGATTACGTCAAGCAGTACTTTCCGAACGGTATACCTTGGAATCCGAAAGGACAGCCTGCCCAGGAGGTGGCCAAAACTTTGGTTACAGCCTTGTCAACGACAGCGACACCGCCCCCTCCCCCTCCCCCCGGCGGCTTGCCGCCGCCGCCGCCGCCGCCGCCTGGCCCGCCTCCTGTACTGGACCTGAGTAATGGGGAAGCTCCTGCTTCAGGTCAGGAAAGGGGAGGCCTTGATGCTGTCTTTTCCGAGCTCAACAGAGGAGATGCCGTGACCAAGGGCCTCCGAAAGGTTGACAAATCGGAGATGACTCATAAGAACCCATCTCTACGAGCTTCCTCCAGCGTTGTCCGAGGCAAGAGCCCAGCCCCTGGAAAGAAGCCAAAGCCCGAGAGCATGCGCAGCAAAAAGCCACCCAGGAAGGAGCTTGACGGAAATAAGTGGACAATTGTAAGAGGCGAAATACGAACATGACGGATAGCAACTGATAAATATTTCACAATAGGAGAACTACGACAAAGAACCACAGCCGATTGAGATCGAAGCGTCCAACAACCATTCTTTGTTGATTAGCAGATGTAACAACACGACGATCATCATTAAGGGTAAGGCCAACGCCGTCACCATTGAGAACTCCAATCGCCTATCGTTGATTGTCGACTCTCTCATCTCCACGGTGGATGTAGTCAAGTCACAGAATTTTGCCTTGCAAGTCATGGGAGTTATCCCTACGGTCATGATGGACCAGATCGATGGTGCCCAGATTTACTTTAGCAAGGAGAGTACATCCACCAAGATCTTTACGAGCAAGTCGTCAGGTGTCAATCTGAACGTCATTTCGGGTCCTGATGGCGATTCGAAGGAAGTCCCACTGCCCTATCAGATTTGCTCTTACTATGATGAGGAGAAGGACGACCTTGTAAACGAGATAGTGTCACACGCCGGTTAGACATTTGATGGAGTCATTTTCTCGTTGCTCGGGCCACCGCGGTCGACATTGCGTGGTTGCAGATGTTTCGTAAGCTTGTGTAGTTATCAACAAGATCTGCCTTTTCACGCTGTGGACGGAACGACCGAGAGAAACCCTCATGTGTCTTGACAGTGAAGGTTGTCTGGCTGGGTTGGCAGTATGTAGTCTATTGTCAACACAACTTGAGCGATGCGCCAGTCCCTAATCTCTAGTACATGTACGCAGAATGCACAATTGGCATACGCTGCTTGTCCGGCCAATCCTTCCGTCATCCTACACTATGTTCTCCGTTTGTTCATCTTCCGGCATCTTCTCGAATTTCACGGGCCTCTCACAGTTTAGCCTTGGGTGTCTCAATGCTCGATATGAGGAGATCACGCATATCACCAGCGGCCTCGTTGAGATAGAAGCTCATCCTCTGGCTGCCAAGACCCTTCGACACAATGTTGAAGTTGATGCTATGATGTTATCAAATTAGCACTCCCCTTTTTTGGTACCCAAAAAGGCGAGGAACCTGGGACGTGACAGCTCCGGGAAGTCTTACCTGTTTTCGTTGATCATATACGCAATACCGAATCCGTCGTCAATAACCTGGCTCCAACCGTATCCGTTGAAAAACTCAGAGCTCAACTGCGAGGTCGAGAGGAACCACGTGGCGGAATATGTGTACGCTGGGTCCTTGTAGATGCTCGGGAGCTCCTCACCAGGTCCCAATAGTTTCTTCAGACCGAACAGGTGCCTGTCCACTCCCTTGCCATCTGACGCGGCACTGATGTATTCGAGATGCGAATCGATAGCCTTGCGGAACAGGTCAGTGCGAGTCGCGTCCGTCGACTCGGCGTCGGCCATGGACCGGCACCAGGCGGTTGAAGCATCAGAAACCGTGCGGCAAGTCTCGGTACGACCCTGCTGGAAACGGCGGGTGGCAGCGGACTCGTACGTGGGGCGGTTCTTGCCGTACATCTTGAAGTACGCCAGCTGGATGATCATCTGAACGTAGGCATCTGGAGAGCATTTGAACTTCTTGATCAATCCCTTGCCGTAGCCCTGGTAGGCCTGCACGGCGAGCTCGTGCTGGCCGATAACGTCGTTGAAGTCTTTGGTTGCACGGTCGATCTCAGTCTGGACGTCCTTGGTGATCTCGAATTTGACTGGCTGAGGATCGGCCAGGTTAGAGCGGATAGCGGGGTTGGAGAGGTCAATTTTGTTGTTGAAAATGAGATCATTGATGTAGTCGTTTAAGCGATGAGTAGGGGTGCCATCCATCATGGAGTGTTCGCCCATGAAGCCAGACGTGCCGTTGTCGTTGACAATGAATTGAAGAGGCTTGTCAAACCAGCGATTCTGGCCATCTCCGTGCCAGTATTGATGGGCACGCTCCTCAAGCGTCACGGGAGAGGCGTCATCGAGGCACACGACGAACGACGCAGATTCGATAGTCTCAAGGGCTGCAGCATTCTTGGGATGCGCTGCAAGCAAAGTTTGGCGTGCATCGGCCCACACATCACGGTTTTCGCTAGTCAGAGCACCAAGAGCGGGAGCTCGCTGAGCGGATTCGTAGACCTTGTTGAATTGCTGTTCGAGTTCGCTTGCATTGAGCTGTTTGCCGTTCACCTCGTGCATAATCTTGAAAAATTGGTTCTTGCGGATTGCAATAATGTGCTTGTGATCTTTGTGGGAGAACTTGACTGGGTGGTCGACAGGCTTGCGGCAACGCGACTGGCGTTAAACATGTACTGGAGCTGTCCATGCAGATTGGCAGGCGCTTCATGTACTCGGGCTCAAGGATTTCAGCGTCCACTTCTTTTTTGAATTCGAGCACGGCGGAAGTTATGGCCGCGCCGCGCTTAGCCGGGATTTCTCCTTCGACGGTCGTCTCGGTGGGAATAAAAGTAGCTGACGTAGGGAACGACAGGGTCTCTGTAGGACAGGTATGCAGCATCGTTCCACTACTCGTAGAGCCAGTTCCTGTG